TTTAAAAGAACTATTTTAACACCTGTCTGAATTCAATGAACCTTTTAGACTGGATGTGTCGATCTTTTTCGTCAATTTACCTTAAAAATTCGTGTGAAAACCAATGTACGCTTTTCTACTCGTAGAATCAAATTCGCAGATCTAACACTCTCCTAACAATATCAGGTGTGTTTTTACACACTAGTAAGCTATCGACCATAGCCTTATAGATGGATTGCAAATAAAGCATTTTAAACAAATAATCCTGCATTTTACTGTTTTTTAGTAGGTCTTTGTTGGAGCCTTTTCTTAACTTAAAACAAATTGTGAAAATAATTGTGAATTTATAACACGGTATAAGTTTTTCCGATTGAGTGACAGTATGATAAATTTACGAGTCTTTTAATGAAGCAACTATGGTACTGAAATCACGCACTTTTGTTCCAATGTTTAGCCAAGTTGGGTAAAAAAGTACCACTAGAGCGTATCCTCTCCTTTATAAAATGGCTAATTCTCAGCAAAATATGACAACCGAAGTTCGCGCGTGTACATTTTTGCGTGCGAGTTAATACTCGTAGGAGTTCTCTAAACATTTCTTGTGTAAATTACGTAATGTGCGTGATCATTTACAATATGCCTGGACTCATTAATTAAACAAAAATGGCGTTGAAAATGGTTTCCGCGTGAATTCAAAATATTTTTAAATGCTATTTGAAGTAGTCGCAAATAAAACAAAAGTCGGCAACTACCACCTGCTGATCATACGGGAGCTAGCTATGACTGAAAATGAATAATGAAAGGATAAATCTTGTCTCTAGCTTGGAAGAAAGTATCTCGGCTGCACTCTTTCGGTATGTTATTTTTTTGAGGGAGAACAGTCGCACGAATTAGTCCATAAATTTAGAAGGTTTCCTCACAAGGGTAAAAAATCAATAGCAATTTGATGAAAATTATTGAGACGGGTCTCTCTTTGTAGACGAATCAAATGCAAGTGCGAATACTGAAACAGCGCAATCAAGTTGCCTTCAATCGTGCGGAAACCAACAAAAATGTCGTCAATTTTGGATAATTTCTATGCATATTGACAAAATTATTCCTTTTAGGTGTGCCCCTCGTTTACTGAACTTGAATTCTGGATATTTGAACTGTACACTGAAAAAAAATTCTCGGCGTTTTTACGAAGGTCCGTTGGTACCTTTACCATCTCACTTGTTTACCAATTATTGGTAATTTTACCAAGACAGAATGGTAAGTTTACCTAAAAACTGGTATTTTTACTGTTTTTTCCAGGTAAGAATACCACTTTTATTGGTAATCAATTCCCGGTAACTTTGCCATTTTATCTCGGTAATCCTACCACAGTCGATAAAAAATATTGGCGTTTTTACCGGGGTCCAGTAAAATTACCGAGAAAGTCAATGATTTTACCGAGATTTTTCAGTAAAATTACCAATTCCATAAATGGTAATTTTACCAAGAAAAAACTGGGATCAAATAGAACCCTAAATTCTTGGTAATTTTACCCTTTTCTTAGTAAATACACCGAGATTTGTTTTTAAGTGCACGAATTAGTCCATAAATTCAGAAAGGTTCCTCACAAGGGTAAAAAATCAATAGCAATTTGATGAAAATTATTGAGACGGGTCTCTCTTTGTAGACGAATCAAATGCAAGTGCGAATACTGAAACAGCGCAATCAAGATGCCTTCAGTCGTGCGGAAACCAACAAAAATGTCGTCAATTTTGGATAATTTCTATGCATATTGACAAAATTATTCCTTTTAGGTGTGCCCCTCGTTTACTGAATTTGAATTCTGGATATTTGAAATGTAGGCCTTTAATATACCCTTTCGGAGGGTATATCCCTAAGGATACATGGGATGAGCGGATCAAATTCTCAGAAAATGTGACACGCAAATTGATTGGAAAATGGTCCAGTCATCAAACAAATATGTGATAGAATGTTATAAATTCCGAAAACTGATCTACATACTTTTTGAAGTTTTAACATGCATGAACTTATTAAAAATGCGCATTTCTGCATGTAGTTGGAATATTTTCCGAAGCTGTAGGCTGAGTTTTTAGTCTTGATAACAAGCTCAACGGGTGAGTCTGATGCAAAATACTACAAGATACGTTGAATGCATCCGATTGAGAGACAATGGAGCGTCGATAATCAGGCCACTGTGTGCATCTTCGGAGACTTAAACGCTGAAGTAAGAAAGTAAGCTATGTATATTTTTTCAGATCCATTCCCCACAGTATGCCCACAAGTCACGAAGTGAAAATTTGGGTAAATTTATGTAAATGTGTGCTTACTTGCTTATTTATCGGTTATTTTTTTCTTCGATCTTCACTTCAAGTACCATCTTATCCGTTTTTCTAAATTGGAACCGCATAATGTTTCGTATCAGACCCGTTGGAAAATGCAACCGTTTGATTTCCAAATTGCAATAAAAGAGAATTTGATTTGCAATTATCTAATCTTGAACATCTGAAGGAAACATTCGTCACTTTTCTGGAAACAAGAAAATACAATAAAACAAAATTTGGCAACGTCCGAAGGTCCATACTGCGTTTTCCCTGGCACGGCAGAACGGCAGTAATTAATTTCTAAACAAAACGCAGTGGTGTGGCGTAAATTGCGATATATCGATTGTTATGCCATTTAACTAATGGAAAAGGATCGATATACAGTGTGTTCGCAGCGAACACCTGAATAATAAAAATCGTTTAAAATACTATTGTGTGCGGTGCAAATTTTTACTGAGAATTTTTTCTTTCAGGAGCAATGAATTATTTTGTCTGAAATTATGAAAATAATAATCAGCATTTCAATCTCTGTTAGAATGTATCACTATTCTGCCGCACTATGCAAGAACGTCGTAAATCCATCAAGATTTTCCCTCGTTTTTTGGAACTCGACACTTTATAACAAAAAAACTGCTTTGTCCATGCACCTCAAATTTTCAAGTTAAGTTCTTGATAGTATTTGCGAAGGAATTCTGTAAAAACATTATCCCAAGGTACACAAGTTTTTCTGCTATGATACGTTGTTTCCAAAAAATGTAAAATGGCGTTTACTGCGTTTTTGCGTTGCACGGCAGTATTGCCTTAACTATTGCCTATTGACTATTTGCCTGGGCATTTGATAAAATGCCTGATTTGACTATTTGCCTGCGGCATTTATACGGCGTTTTTCCTAAGCACGGCAGAATGGATGCAAAGCGTTCCGGTGGTTGACTTCGACCTGCGCGGAAGTTATCCTCCGGGCGGGCGCCAACGTCGGATCCTCCGCCCAGCTCCGGATGAGATTCCGGATCACGAACTATCGACGGCCGTCCGGAGAATGGCAAAAAACGTGTAAGAGCTGTTTGCTAAGACCTTGCTATTTTAACACCCACTTTTCAACTCTGTGTATGATCCGAGCTCGTGCGAGGCCTGTACCTCTTGTCGTCATTATATCTTATTTTGTTGTTTAATTCATTTATTTGTATAAAAATGCATGATAAATACAAGGGTCATCGTCTGGGTGACATACCTCTGACATATATCACGTGAGCGCCGATCTCTATTTTGGTGGTAGAAGGGTTGCTTTGTCTTTGTTTTCTCTGGTATAATAAATCATGTCTGATTTCAAAATAGCCTCCTAAAAGAACATACATTTTTTGGAATTAGAAGATTGTCAACAAAGGGAATAGGTATTCTTGTTTTCCTTGCATTTGCAATTTTGGCGCTTACGTGATTTTGAAAATAATCGGTTCAATTGAGATCGCTTTGAGAGGCGGTTCATAGAGCGCCTGGAAGTACTATACTACCGTGCTAAGGAAAAACGCCGTATGAACCTTCAGGCGTTGCCAAATTTCCTTGGATAAAACGCACATTTCCAGGTGAGCTTATGAATATTTTTCTTCCAATTTTCCGGACAATTTTGCTCCCGATTCCTCCGAAAAGTCCTGAAAATTTCAAGGAAAATATTCATAACTTTTCTCAAAAATAAACATTTTACTGAAGGAAATTTGGTAACTCTCGAATGTTCATACGGCGTTCTTCCTTGGCACGGCAGTATAGAGGCGGCTATCACTTACATTAATTTTTAGATCGCAAGAATGGATCGCAAGAATGGATCGCAAGAATTTTGTTTCAAATGATGAGAATATATCCCAAGGCTGTTGCACTTGAAATCATTAAGTGATGGGTATTTAAATAATCAATCGTGGAATGAACCGGCTATTTAGACGCAGTCCCAGGAAGCGCGGTGAACTTCCTTCCTCAGCGTTACTGATGTAAAACACTCGATGATTGATCCTCCGATCTATTGTGCATCTTTCACAACGGAGGAAATCGCTTTGTCGGCCGGAGGAAGAGAGGATCCTTCATCGTCGGGATAATTAGTTTCTATTTTGTGCATTCTAAATTTTGCACAATGGAAATAGTGCCTCTGTGACCTTGCTCATATATCTTAATGACCTGGAGCCTCATTTTTGCAAAACTCGATTAAGCATCGATGCAGAATTCATCTCGCCACTTGATTTGCACTACCCTCATTACATACTGTAATAATTCTCCTATTTAGTCCATGAAATTTGCTGCAAGCAAGTGGAGTTTTAAGTTAGCCATTTTTATGCATTCAAAATCCAAATTCGCATATTATTGCCGTTCAAGCCTTTATTTCTTTAACTTCGTAAGGTAAATGTGCAAAGTGTACGAGTAAATTATGAATATTTACTAGCATGAGTTATGTGCAGCTTTTATAAAAAACTGGCTGTATTCGTGCTTTTAACTTTGTTATCTCAAATAATAAGATATAAATAATCTTCAATATTGAGAGACAGCAAATCAATCATAATTACTTGATAAGTCTCATGTGATAATACGCGGGACTGTATTGAGTACATTTCTCTGTGATCCATAATTGAAATTTGAAACCAAGTACTAGCACCGTGACTATTTTTTCTGATTCTGTCAACTCGTTTTTTTATGATTCTAAATTGATAAAGAATTTACAATTTTATGTTCCAGGTCACAAAATGATCTTGAGGAGTATCAGTGGGCTTTTCAAATCAGGGGAACTGACAGCTATATTAGGACCATCGGGGGCTGGTAAAAGCACACTGCTGAACGTTTTAGCGGGTTACAAGTAAGTATCAATCGTTCATCCAAAATACAAGGATGATCTTACCTCCTATGAAAGGAGATTGAAATTTAAAACCATATTTTGAGAAGATCACATAGGGCTTCAATGTGGGCTAACGGTGACTATTGATGAACCAAATAATTAAATCCAAAGTTAATTGATCTCCATCGGGAAATGATGAATATGGTTTTATCGGTTACCCTTTTTGTGATCCCACTTCAATCATCTAAGAAGGATTTTAGTATCTCTAACATTTGGCACGATAGCACTAACGATAACACGATAGATTTGGCGATTTGGCACTTTAAAATACGAGCATGGCTATTCGAGAAACGTAGCTGTTTTCCTTCATTTTGAAGATAGGCCAACAGCTCAACACCAATGATTCAGAGGATTCGGTAGATTATTTCCACATGGGAACTAGGCGTTTATTTGTGGATCACAAGAATTTACCTCTTCCCACACTGTGACCATTTTACTTCAATAATTATACACACAAAATGTGAGACTGCCAGATAAAATTTTAAAAAATTCCAAACGTGAAATATACCAAAAAAAAATCTTGAGGGAGGACGGAGCAAATAGGTATACCGTTTATGTGCAGTTGCTCAAAACAAATACTCATCATCATCCTCAAGAACGTGTGTTTACTTTTTAAATATTGCTAACCATTTACAAAAAGGCTACACTTTGACTTTTTTTGGACGTAAGGATCTAAAAACGTAAAATTTGTAAAAAAAAAAAAAAAAAAAATCCCCTTTCGCGATTTGGGTAATTTATTTGCAAAATCAGTATCAATATGACCTCTAAAATGAGTTTTTCTGCAAGACTGAAGGGGAGAAAGGGCTCAGCTTAGGCAGACGCACTGGAATAGTGAGCCAAAGTCATGTCGAGAGAACCATATCGGTTTGGGTCTTTTTAGACCCCATCATTCAGTAAATAAGGCACTCAGCGTTACCTTCCACCTACCATGTGGACCTAGCAGTATTCTACCACCCTGCTTATCTGCAATGTTTTTAGCGTTTTTTTAATGATACTGCCAGGAGAACTGAGTACGAGGACATCCTTGGTTTCTAAATTGGACAATTATTTTAGTTAATATGACAAAATAACTTAATCTGCTAAAATATATGTGTTCAAATGGAAAATGCCACCAGATGATGTCACAAGGCGGCAAATTTTCTCACTTTTAAATATATTTTCCTCCGAATTCCCATATCAGAAAAAAATTATGAAAAATACTGCGAACTCAGCTCATGAAGCACTCTCACATGAAGCAATAACATTTTTTGTGCAAATTCTCAATTGCATCCATTCACATCAAATTTGATTTTTTAAATAATTTTCCTCCTCACACAATACATATTTGGCACGAATATTACTTCTCATTATCCAAGCCCTCACTATGAGTTTAAATGTTTATTATATCCTACTTTGGTGACCAACAATGAGGAATATCTCGTGAGCTGTCAATTTTTCCCGTTTTACAGAACTCAAGATGCAACGGGGGCAATATACGTAAATGGGCGACCACGAGATATGAAGCAGTTCCGGAAACTGTCTCGGTATATCATGCAAGAGGATCTTCTTCAGCCGGGAATCACCGTTGTTGAATCCATTAGGATAGCTGCAGATCTCAAACTAGGCAACACACTCTCTCGCAAAGAAAAATCAGAGACAGTAAGTATTTTTGCACTTTAATTTGCTGGGTGCATCCTATTCAATAGCCTCTTATTCACAGCTTTTTCCGTTTCATTTATTTGAGGCAGACATTCTCGAGCGTTCTTGAGTGGCTAAATGGGTATGCGGGAACGTCGATGGCCAGAGTGTAAGAATGCGTGTATCTCCATTGTGACTTTTAAAAATCGCTAATCCAAGAATAACCACCAGATCCTCTTGAACACTAGAAAAACAAGGGGGAAAAACGGGAACAAAGGCTAAACTACACAATTAAAAAAAAACCGAGACATTTCGACTCAAAACTGAGTCATTTTCAGCCGGAAATGTTACAATAAAAATTTAAAAAAACGATGAAAAACCTGAGCCCTACATGGTGGTGGCCGGTGAGAAAAATGATAACCTCTGGTCATTGTCTCGGGCTGCTCTTTAAAAATGCGTCTCTACGATCTTCTTGAAATATTCAGTAAATATCTGTGAAAGAGTGAAACAAGAAAAACAAAAAAAAACCTCGAATAAAGAACCTCAGAAGACTTGATGATTTGCTTTCTTTCATAAGATTATTATTTGAACGGTGTTTTGTGCTATCGTAATCAGCAATACGTATTACTTGACACTAGCTATCTATATGGACCATGTGACCAAATTCCGGCACCTGGGACGGGAAAATTAGTATAATCGGTCAATGTCACGTGTAAAAAAATTATGCTTTGATGGTTGAGTTGTGTGCAACAGCCAAGTTTTTCAGAATAATTTTAGGGGTGACGGTTGCTGACAAAGAAAATATTGGAAGACATCATTCCATGCATTGGTCTGCATGGTATTTTTTACCAATATGGTGTTATTGACTAGTGATGGATTTTTAATATAGTCCTATGCATCATTGATGCGGATCAAGGTGGAAAATATCACGGTAATGCGCACGTCCAAGATGGAAGATATTACAACCTCTGTATTGTTCAATGGTGATATCTCTGTCATTATCGGATTTAGAAACTTGATTTTTTTTTTTTGGCTAGTGAGTGACATTTGACCGTGGTGAACAGCTGGTTCATTTTTCTAAGGTTTCCGAGAAAAATTATTCATTTTTCACGTGTCAAGACGGATAAACCATAGGGTTGATGTTATATCACCGTCGTTCTAAAAATCCAGTATTACGAAATTCTGATCGATTTCCACGTAAGAATCATGCTGATTACATGAGCAACGAATTTGTGCCAAAAGGTCAACGATAAGTGGGGCCAGTCGATGCCCTCTGTATTTGCTCCCTACATTCTCGGCCTATGTACCACTTTCCTGCAGATATCTTCCCTTTTCGACATATCCAGGTCACTGCTACCGACCTAGCAAGTGGGTCAGTAGCCTCTCTCCAAAAAGTTCATGAACTTCGTCCAGTTTCAGATGAATCTTTGGCAGGAGAACAAATCAGCATTGCATATGTAAACGCATAACTCGCTGAGCTACTTATCTTTATCAGATACCAATGCATACTCTCAAATGAATTTTAACACTGGATTGGGATAGATTATATATTCTAGTGTCCGAATAAACTGATCAGACATTTTTCTGGGTTAATCTTGTCTGCTGAGCTGAATTTCAGAATCAATCTTTATGATGAGTTTGAAAGGGGGGTTTCAGAAGCCTCTTAACTGTACCCTTCCCCTCCCCCCGAAATCCTTGAAACAAAGTAGTTTTGGATATTTCAAGTAGATTTTACTTCTGCAACTCCTATGACTTTAGCAAAATTGCCGGTTTCGCTGCTGATCTCTGACACAGATATTTTTGAAGATAAAATTGATCACTAATGTTGACGAAAAGAGCGCATCTTCAATGATGAAGTTTTAAAGACAAGTATCAAGATTGCGAAGCATAAGCAATTACGCGTCTACAGTTTTTCGAAGAAAACAATGCTCATGTTACGTCTGTAATTTTTAAAGATATTTTTGAAACAACAACAAAATTTTAAAAATTTTCGAGAGAAAATGACGGATCTCTGACAGCTTAATTTGGGATGAAGGTTTTAGATTTTCATTAGGAGTCCATTAAACTCTTGACTGAGAGGCCTCCTTATCTATTTTTCGTATTAAGATTGGATTTTCATTTTCAATTTTCTTTTTTGTGTATTTCAGGTGGAAGAAATTATGTCACTTTTGTCATTAGCGCGGTGTCGAAACACACTAACGACGCTGCTGTCAGGAGGTGAAAGGAAACGGTTATCTATAGCTTTGGAACTTGTGAATAACCCACCCGTGATATTTTTAGACGAACCTACGACGTAAGTTTTTTTCTCTCGATAAGTTTTCTGAACTCTTTGTGCGTCAAGAGTTCATCAGTAACTACATTAGGCGTGTTTTAAGTATACAGGCATTTGGTCAAGGAAAATTCTTTACAAAGCATTATAAATTTTTAACAAAATTCTCAATTTTTTATCAGCTTTGAATGTATGTTACCTACGATTTATCAAACGACAGACCTTCTCTCCCATATATGATTTTACATATCATATTTGATCAGCTTACCTTATTAACTTAGTTCCTTAGTACCACTTAGCATAAATAAGCCCATGAAACAATTTGCCACAGAATTAACAAAATATCTAATTCTACTATTGGCTTTCAACTGTCATATTCATCCTCTCTGTTTAAAAGTATAAAATATCAAGTAAATTTTAAGAAAATCGTAAAGAAAACCAGGCGATAGTTGGAGATCAAAAATAAGTTTTTCCTAAAAGTTTCAAAAAAGATCCATCGCAGGATTTTGACCGTACACATTAAGTGACTTATCATAATTGAGGCGTCGGGTGCAGGAAGGGCATTCCTTAGTAGCAATGCTGCAGAATCTCCACTGCTTATTTATACTTTAGAGAGGAAACTAGAAGGTGAATTTTCTGAACTTTCTAATTTTCATGCATCGTAAAATCATGAGGAAAATTCAGTACAAGTTTCAACGAATTACATGCATTTTCCTCAATTAAAGTAGATGAAACGTTAAGGAGTATCCTGAGACATCGCATCGACATCAAGAAATACCCTTTCTCTACCCAACGCCTCAATTGGACGTATTTCTGCCAAACAGATCTATGTGGAGGTGAGAAATATGGAATGTGCTCGTTGTTCTCTTTGCGTAAGAGTGACTGAGAATAATAAAGCGCCAGTGACGTCAGCGGCAACGAACGATGCGCGTTACGACGTCGACGGTGCGCTTTAACTCATGAGCCCTATCCACAACGCTCTCTTGCCATGCCCGCGGCTCATATATCCCGAATTCTGTTGGCACATAGGTCTGTTTGATAGAATGTAACATCCCGCTTTTCCAATTCTTCAGAAGGAATCACGCCCACTTTTACATCGTTTCTTATGCAGCTCTCTAGAGCACACCCCATATTTCTCACCTGCACATAGGTCTGTTTGGTAGAAATACGTCCAATTTAGACCTCTCACAATTTGGCGGTGGTGACTATCATTGATTCTTAATAACTCTATTCCAGGGGTCTGGACGACGTGTCTAGCGCGCAGTGTATCACGCTAATGAAGGCGCTGGCGGCGGAGGGTCGAACCGTGATCTGCTCGATACACACCCCCTCGGCGAGGCTCTTCGCCATGTTCGACCATGTCTACATCGTCTCAGAGGGCCAGTGCGTCTTTGCAGGCCAAAATCAGCACATCGTTCCTTTCTTGGCGCAGCACGACCTGTACTGCCCAAAACACTACAACCCCGCCGACTTCAGTAAGTAAAACACAGGAAGAGTAAGGGCCACTCCTAAAATATAAGCTCTGAAGCCTCCTAAATTTTAATTTTTGGTAACGCTTAGTTCTAGCGTTCTACTGGCCCGATTTTCATGATTTTTGCGTTCATCGACAGGTGATACCGACAGGTCCCTGCATGAGACCGCTCTATTCAGGTTTTGGAAATGTGACTCACGTTTTTCATATTAGGGTAGACCGGGGAGCTAAGCGACCTAAGGCGATTGAGCACAGGGGGAATTTCATGAGCGTCACACCATGGTCCAAAACTCAAGAATAGGACGAAATTAGTCGGATAAAAACTGAAAGATCGTGTAAGTTTCGTAACTGATATTTTTTCGAGTCGCTAATTTCGAATTTGATGGCAAATTGGCTACATTTTAACATCCTGACCTATTAATTGTGGGCAAGTTTATGGCACGCTGCGGCGCGGCGCGCTGTCACTGCCAGCTTGAAATTGAAACGCGCACCGACGCCTACAAACCTAAGGGGATGCTTCAAGCATTGCGCAATGCGTGAGGTAGCTCTTTAGGTTTGTAGGCGTCAGTGCAAGTTTCGCGCTGGTCCTAGCCCCCTAGTAATCTCATGGAGCCCTGAGGTTAAAAATAATGCCGAGTCAGAAATTGAGATTTTTACACGTTTCAATTACGATACGCACTTTTTAACTTCAGCAGTCGATGTGTAAGACATGAATACGTACAGATTCTCAAGCTCGTCACGAGAAGGGCTTGAAAAAAGGAAGCACTTGCAATAATCTTTTGAAGCTGCATTAAAAGTCACACTAATAAACATCAGTCAACAGCAAGAGCAGTTGTAAGTGTCTTATATCAAGTAACTTTGTAAAAACTAATAGATTGCCTGACGTCAGCGAGGCTGGACTATAAAAGCGAAATAAAACTACACTGTAGTTAAAAAGTGCAATTCAATTGCAGTTGCTATTTATATTTATTACCGTATGGGGGACTGTTGTCACAGGTTTAGCAATCCTGCGGACCCCAGCTGGTAGCCCCTGCCTCAAAGGGGGCAGTGGAGATGGTCACCGGCCTCTGGGCGTATGAACCACCTGCTAGAAGGGCAGACAGGGCTCTGAGCTGAAGTGAAAGCAACCTGTCTAGGAGAGGCAACTCCGAAATCAAACCCTGGTCCTCCAGGTTGGGGGTTGAGTCATCGGGCTAACTCCCCGGTACTTGTAAAAAGTTTTACTGTTAAACGACCTAACAATA